CTTTATCAGGAAAAATTTCAGACTTATCTTGCTGTTTTTGTGTTTGTTCGGCGTTCAAGTCGTTGCCTTTTGCGTGTTTGTCTATGGAAGGACCGGTCATACATTCTGCTATGCCGCGTTGACTCACGGGCTTGACCTTTTTACGGCCCCTCATATCTATTTTATGATCGATAATACTAAGTTCTGCACACTACGGAGCAATCTGGCAGCAATGGACGTTTTTGGCTGAAGGAATGAAAATGTACGGATCGGCCTCACTTTGTTCCTTATTTCCAAAGGCCAAAAAGGCCTCTTTATTCCTTAAAAGTAATATATTACTTGAAAAAAAACACTGCCTCCTTCCCCACCCCCACCCCCGACCTTCCCCACATCCAATCCAATTCTGCCACCAACACGAGGAGCGCAGCAGCATTTCATCTGTAGCTCCTGCTACTGCTGTTGCCATTGTTGCTACTGCCTTCCATTTGTACTCTCTGCCCAAATTGCTACTGCAAATCCATCCGTAATCTCCTGCCATCTGCCATATACACACCTTGTGTGTCAGATGTGGAGGGAAGCACGGAGCTGTGGGAGTGGCAGCCTGATGTCATGAACTACGCTCTGGCCCTACATGACCGGCTCATGCGCCTCACCATCGCCACGTGCTGCGGCTATGAGGTACGAAGATCTGCCATCACGGCAGCCCGGCAGCCGGTAGTGTACCGTTGAGGTGGGGGAAATACGGCCGTAATAGCCAGTTCTGCTCACCCACCACCTCAACTTCCACCTTCCACCTCAATGATACGACTTCGGATTACTGGGATGCCACAGAATCGCTGGTGTACACATACCGACCCGTGGGTCACCCAATGGATCGCTTTCACCACTGCTCTTTTGGGTCGTCGCTGCCTATGTGCGGATGCATAAGCAGCCTTACTGAATTTCTAAATAGTGTATCCGCTTCCGCCATACTGACCCATGGGTCACTTTTATTAAAAGTGACTCACAGGACGCTCAACATGTTCTTCGTATCATACCACTGACCCATGGGTTGCCCTCTTCTATGACCCATGGGTCTTTCTGTTGTTTGACCTCTTGGCCCTCTCGCTTAACGCCCTGGTCCAACCCCACCCATTCATCCCCGCATCCCATCCATCCCTTTCAGATCACCACCGAGGGCGACGCCTTCCTGGTCGCCTTCCACGACCCCGTGGATGCGGTTCGTTGGGCGCTGCTACTGCAGTCGGCACTGCTGAAATTGGACTGGCCGCCGCTACTGCTGGAACACCCGCTATGCAGGCCGCGGCCGCTGGTGCCAGTAGCGGCGGCGCCGCCGACGGCGGCGCCGGCAGGAGGCGCCGGCGGTGCCGCAGCTTCCTCCTCTGCTCCGCTGTTGGTGCTGTTCAAGGGATTGTCAGTGCGGATGGGCATCGCGACAGGTGTACCGTCATCTGTACGGGAACACCCTGTGACGCGGCGTATGCAGTACACTGGTGCCGTACTGCGGCTGGCAACGGGCATTGCGGAGCTTGGTTCGGGTGGTCAGATTCTCGTGGAGCCGATGACGTTCAAGGGCATCCACAACAAGATTGAGGAGCTGGACGTTGTGGAGGCCGAGGTGCAGGAGCTGGCGGGTAGGTCGATGCAGGCGGGATGTTGTCGAGGTGGGGCCGCGCGGGTTACGAGCCCCGGGGGTGCAGGAGGCGCAGTACGGGTTTGGTGATCTGAGCCCGGATTGCAAGCTAAGGGATCGAGACCAATGGGACCCCGGGGGCGGTCGGGGGCCCCCGTACCTTGCACCCCTCAGGTCAGGTACCTTGCACCCCTCAGGTCAGGTGCCTTGCGGTGGCGAAAAGAAAAGAACTCCCTAAGGGCCCCCCGTTCGGATGCAATTGTGACGTCGCAGATGTTGTACGACACGATACGACAATAATGGGAGGTGGTGCCATGGCGCACCCACTGGGCGTCTCTTTGAAGCCCTCATTGAATCCATTTCCACCGGAGAGAGGTAGCGACCCGGATGTCGTACGACCAACACCGCCACTGATGCCGCTGCTGCCGCCACCGTCGCCGCCGCCGCCGCCGCAGCAGCAGCAGCAGCAACCGCAGCAGCAGCACCACCACCACCACCATCAACAACAGCAAAGCCAGCAAAGACCGCCTTCATGTGCGCAGCAACCGCACCTGCTGCCGCTGCCGCTGCCGCTGCCCCCTTCACAGCCCCAGCAACATCAATATCAACATCATCATCATCATCACAAGAGTTCCCAGCGGAGCTCCCAAACCACCACCGCCACCACCAACACAAGCGGCGGCGGCGGTGGCAGCGGAGGCGGCGGCGGAGGCAACAACAATACCATCGCGGCGGAGGCGCCGCTATCGCCGTACACGCAGCAAGGAGCCATGCTGTCACCATCGCCGCCGCCGTCGCCGCCACCACTACTTTATCAGCAGCAGCTTCACCACCAGCATGTCGATGTAAAGACTGTGATGACCTCAGGCAGTCTCCCGCGAACTAGCCCTACCAGCCTCGTGATGCCCTCCCAGGCAGGGGTTCAAAACATGACCGGTCACGGGGGGGTGCGAACGACTCCGCAACGCACATCTCCGGACATGCAGAGCGGCTACATAATGCCCGTACCGATGATGATGACCCTTATGCAACAACATCAACAACATCAACAACAACAACAACAACATCAACAACATCAACAAGAACAACAACAGCATCAGCATCAGCATCAGCAACAACAAACGCTGCTAAGTGGACAAGCCGACGCGATATCGCCATTGGCGGCAGCGGCGGCGGCGGCGGCCGCTGCTTCCCAAGGAGGTGGCAGTGGCGGCTCCGCCGCCGCCGCTGCAGCGGCGGCGGGGGTGACTCCGTCACCGCCCCACCATCACCACGGCTACGTCACCGCCGCCAGCAGCCGCCTACGCCGCCTGGCGGACATGGCCATACCAGGTGGTTTGGCGGCGGGTACGACACTGGGGGGGGAGTGCACTGGTGTACTGCCGGCCTGGGCGCCTTCGTGGCACTTCCATAACAATCAGCGGACGCTGCTCCTGATGCGGAATTCGGGAGCCCCCGCAGCCGCCAGCAGTCACAATAACGCTTCGGACTGGAACAACAGCCTGATGGCGTCTCGCTACAGCCTGCTTAGCCACATCCAAACCATGTCGTGCAGCAACGGCTCGCGGTCGGGGCATAATGGCGGCGGTGGAGGCGGCGGTGGCCCGGGGGGCCCAGCGGCGGGGCAGGGCAATGCGGGGCATGGAGGTACGGGGGTTGCCGCGGCGGCTGTAAGGGGAAACGTGGGGGAGCTATTTGCAGAAGTGATGGGGGAGGGGGAGGGGGAGGGGGAGGGGGAGGGGGAGGGGGAGGCGCAATGTTGTTGTCTCCCTTGCCCTCCCCTCCCTAAGTTGCCGTTTAGGTGTTAGCTAGCACATAAAAGCGCATAGGGCCCTTTTGGTGAACATGGCTGGTCAGGGTCGAAAGTACATAAACAGCTGGCACAATGCGGAGCTGTAGCTGTACGACAGTAACTTAGTTCGTGTAGGATGATAAGTAGGACTCCAGCAATACACCGCGCAGGCGGCAGTACGACAAAACGCAGCGCACACAGCATGTGTTTTGCCGTGAGACGGCACAGCAGAGCATATGACCTTTGCCGTACGACAGACAGCACAGTACAGCACGCATGATTTTTACTTGCCTTCCTACCTGTGCATATGTATTATATATCTATGTATGTATGTATATATATGTATATATATAATGTAAATATATTGTATATATGTGTGTGTCTGTACACTCACCCAGTGTACCTATCCAGGTCTCCCCTTACATTCCTCAAAAAACATCTTCATTATTTTTGCTTTTTCATTGCATACATTCGCCCCGAAACCCAACTGTACGGCAGACACTGCGACCCCCTTCTTGAACCTCCAAGGTTCTTCCGGCGCGGCGGTGGTTAGCTCCCAGTCCAGCAGTATGATGCTGCAGCGGTCCACATCACTACACGGCATGGGGATACAGGGGTCCCACCGCAATCTAGCGGAAAACAGCGCCACCTTTGGCGGCACATGGCGGACCGTCGGCGGACGACAGGTGCTGGTCAGCGCGCCGCAGGCGGAGTTTCCGGGGCCAGCAGAGGTGGCGGCGGCGGCGGTGGCAGCGGCGCCAGAGGGGCAGCTACAGCCATCCCGTATGGACTACGAGCCGAGCTTAGGGCTGCAACATGGCATGCCGCCGGGGCTGCGTGGCGAGCGCGCGTCGCCGGCAGCTGGTACGGCAAACGTGGTACGCAGCGGCGGCGCACAACAGACGTCATTGTTGTGCAGTGGCGATACTACTGCGGTATGGCCGCCGTGGTCGGGCATGAGTACACCGGCGCCTCCGCCGGCAGCGGCGGCTGTGGCGGCGGCAGCGGCGGGGTCCACGTCAGCGTCATCAGCGTCAGGGGGAAGCGCTCCGACGCCGCCGGGCCGGGCCCAACTGTCAGCGGATGCCCGACCGCCGCTGACGACTGTGCCGTCCCCGCCACCGCTGCCAGCTGCCGCTGCAGGACGGGGCCCTGGGCCTTTGTGCGAAGGCGTGCACAGGGGTGACGACGATGAAGAAGTCCTTGACGGGGCTCGGCTGTTCCGCGGCGATGACTTAGGCGGCGCCGCTGCCGTGGTCGCGGCGCCTGCTGCCGGGCACGACTATGGCGACAGCGGAGGCGCCGTGGCAGCCGTACCGCGGCTCGGTTCTGCAGACGCCGCCACGGCCGCCGGAGCAGACATAACCAGAGAGGTAGCTGGGGACATACATACAGTTAGACATTTGCAGCACCAAGCAGCGGAGGCGACGGACGTCGCCGCCGCCGCCGCCGCTGCCGTACAGCTCAACACCGGTTCGCAGTCCATGGTCGTCTTCAGCGGCCGCAACGCCGCGCGGGGCTCTGCCGTATCTGCGACGCTAGGCCTGCCACGGCTCATACCTGCCGGCGATAGCACCCATACTACGGAGGAGGAGGAGGAGATGCTTTACGTAATGCTTTTAGAAGGTCACGGAGGCTGGTCCGGGAACGGCCGGTCGGAAGGCATTACGGCGAGCAACGGCGTCAATGCGGATGCGGCTATGAGTGCCGGTGCTGGTACGGCAGGTTTTAGCAGCGGCAGTAGAAGCCTGCAGGTCTACTCGCCGGGAGTTGGCAAGGCTGCCGTACCATCGCCATCGTACAAGTTGTCACCAGCTGGGGAGCTTGGACGGGTTCAGGCTCCGTCGGCGCCGCGGCAGTTGCAGCTACCCGCTGTGGCCACCGCCGCCGTAGCCCCCGGCGGCAGCGGCGGCCGTCATGCAGACGTTGACGGCGCTGCGCCGGTTTCCAGCCCCGGCTATAGTGCAGGGGGTTACTACGCATTGAGGGATGCACCACCGCCGCCGCCGCTTCCTCTTCCCCTTCCGCCGCCGCCAGGTGGGCCGACTCCGCCGCCGCCGCCGCCACAGCAGCAGCTGACGTCGCCGCCGCCACCACTTCTCCACCGTGCAGCAGCATCTGGCCCACCTCTGCCTCCCAATCAAGACAGCGAAATGGCGTCAGTCGGAAGTACGAACGTGGAACGCAATAGCGGTGAAAGTGGCGACAACCAGGCGCTATCCAACAGGCCGTCTAGTTCTTCCGTACTAGCTGCAGCAGATTCTCTGGGCCACGATGACGACGTCTGCGGCAGCAGCGGCAGCGGCGGGAGCGGCGGCGGCGGCGGCGTCCGTAGGCCCTTGCTTCAGGCCGTCGGCGGCTCTATCGCCGCCGGTGCCATTACAACCGCCCTTGGTTTCGGATCCGCGTTTCTGGCTGGTACGCCTACTGTTGGCGGGAACATGAACACGGGCACGTTTGGATCCTGGATCCTGCAGAATCCGGACGCTGCGGTGGCGGCGAGCGGCCGATTGTCTATGGAGCTGCAGCGCTTTACACTGCCGTCGATGGAGACGGTGACGGGATCCCAGGTCGGAATAGAGTCCGTGGCGACGCAGGAGGAAGCCGTTGCAGGGGGGGGTGCAGAGTCCCCCGCTGCGGCGTATGCCAAGGACAACAGCGCCGCCTCCGGCGGCGGCGGCGGCGGTGGCGGCGGTGGCGGCGGTGGCGGATCACATCGTGGCTTGCATTTGTTCTTCCAGAGTGCTCCGCAACAGCGAGTGGCACGTCTCGTCCAGGCGGACTCCCTAGTTGCTTGTGAAGATCCAGGATCGGATCAGAGCCGGAGTGGCGGCGGTGACGGCGGTGATGGCGGCGCCGCGGCGGGATCGGCTATGTCGCCACGGGCTTCTCTTGCCGCCGCCGCCACTGCCGCTGCCACTGCCGCTGCCACTGCTGCCGCCGCCGCCGTCGTTGGCAGACTGCCCATCGAACCCACAACTCTGTTGCACCTTTCCCCTGGCGGCGGCGGCGGCAATCCGCTGCCAGTGATCAGCGCGAGCAGCGAGGATGGCTTTGACGGCGGCAGTGATGGCGGTGGTCGCGGTGGGGACGGCGGCCTGGTTGCACGCCCCAGGGAGGGCGGCGGCGGTGGCGGCGGCGGTGGCGGCGGCGGCCCCCCAACATCGATGCTGTCCCCTATGTCCGTGCCACCGTCAGCTCCTCTTAGCCGAAAGATCCGTGCCGTACAGCGCTCCGCGGCATCCTGGACGGCGGCGGCAATCCACCGACGGAACCCCCTCAAGGACGCTGCAGGGACACAAGGGAAAGCGCAAGTCGGGGCCGCGGCGGTCAACAGGACCAACAGCCTCGGAGGCGGCGGCAGCGACGGCGGCGGCGCCGCTGGGCCTCCAGCGGTGATGGCGGCGTGTGGCCTGGGGCCTGCTGTCGGATCTGCAGGACCGGTCGAGTTTTCCTTCGCATTTTCCAGCACAGGGACGGGGCCGCATCGGCCGAAAGGCATCGGGCCGGCCGCGGCGGCGCCGCCGCCGCCGCAGCCACTGCCGCTGCAGCATTTCACGGCGCCTGGTGGCCGCCTGCGCAACATCTCTAACGGAGGTCGTGCCTCCGTCATGGCGGCTCCATTTGCCGTCGAGTTCGCACCCAGCGGCGACTTCTGGACAGTAGGGGCTAGTACGGCATCGCATCGTCCGACGGTTCACGTGGCGGAGACGATTAGTGCATTGCTGCCGTACGAGGAGTCGCCGCCGCTGCGGCGGCGTAGCCTTTGCAATCCCGGGCATAGCGGAAGCGGTGGTTCGGCAGGAGGAGGTACGGCAACCCAGGAGCGGCACAGGCTGGCGAGTACGTCGACGGCAGTGGATGCAGGGCCGACCCCGTCGTCGGTGGCGGCGACGGCAACGACGACCGCGACGGCGACGGCGGCGGCTGCTCCGGAAGTATCACCGCCGGTCGCCCTCTCCCCAAAATTGCTTGGGGATCAGGCAGCAGTGGGTAGGTGGTGGGGCGCTTATGTGGGGCCCCGTCCTGAAACCCTAGAACTCTAAACCCCTCCCGCTTGTGCCTATCTTCAGCGGATGACACTCCCCACCACCGCGGTCGTACAGGTCTCAACGCTGCACTGGCGGTGCCCATGTCCGCCGCAGCGCTTCACAACAACCTCGCGCCGCCGGCGGGGCAACAGGACCCAGCTTCAACGCAGCCGCTGCCGTTACCGTCCGTACGGTACCGTACAGTACCTCACGCCACCCTTAATTACACCAGCTGCGGTTCCCCTGCCAGCCCCGGTTCTTACGAGGCGCGATCCGCAGAGGAAGGGACCAGCCATGAAGCCGCCGCCACCGCCGCTGGCCGACCCACCGCCGGTACGGCAGGTGCTGGCGTGGCGGCCACGAACTTACGTAGCGGCGGCACGGGCATCTGGGGCCTGCCGCCCTTGCCTCCTTCACATCATGTGCGCCCCGGCGGCGTGGGGTTGGCTCCCCTGGAGCGGTACTCCCTCGCCTCGGAGTGGCTAGCTGCCGCAGCCAGTGGCGGCGGCGGCGGCGGCGGCGGCGGCGGAGGCGGTGAGCGTAACCGGCGGCCCGGCTCTGCAGCCTCCACGCAGTTCCTGTGCCAGGCCGCAGGTACGACAGGGGGAGGTCCGTCAGGGCTTGGACACGGGCTCATACCGATGGCACCAGCGGGACATGGCGCGGCGACGTCGTCGAGCTCGTTGGCTGTACTGCAGTCTCCGTTGGCGGCGGCAGTGGCGGCGGCTGCCGCCGCCAACGGTTCTAACGCGGCGGCGGCCGCCGCCGCCGCTACCTACGTCCCGAGCCATGCGGTACGGCCGGTAGATGATGGTGGCGGCGGCGTGCTACTGCCGTCCATGATGCCAACTGCAGCGGCGTACTACAGTGTATCCGGCGACGAGGGCCTTACGACGCCGTCGAACTGGCAGGGAGATACGGCCTATCAGACTATACCCAGCACCGTTGGTCTTTTAGGTCGGTTGATCACCTTATCATCCAAACGATTAGTACTAGGCGGGTGTCGGGAGGGTGCCCTCATGCCTGCCGTACACAGTATGGAGCGCCGCCGCCGATCCCTGGGCATCCAGGCTTCGCCTTTGGCCTCCGTGTCAGCGCGTTCACTGCTTAAGACTATCTGACTGCCTGCCTGTCTGTCTGTCTGTCTGTCTGTCTGTCTGTCTGTCTGTCTGTCTGTCTGTTGCTTTGCCAGTTGCCTTTTGTCTCGTCATATTTACACACGGGGTGAGGAAAGGGGGCTGAAGGGGGGGCCAGTCTTTCCGTACATTTACTTCAACCCTTTAGCCGCGCTGACCATACATATGTACATACGTGCATACATACACGCAATGCTGCAACCCCGCACTTTACCCCTCACGCATGGGGGGCACTACCGGGTTACATTTCCCGCACCGCCTCCTTCCGCCATGTCGTCATCACCATTGTCACGTTACCAGGTGCGCTGCAGCTGCTTGGCCCGCCCGGGCAAGCGCCGACTATCTCAAATGCCTCAGCCGCCGCCGCCGCCGCAGCAGCAGCAGCAGCAGCAGCTGCCGCCGCTGCTCACACACACAGCACACAATCACCTCTGCACACTCTCCAGCATCAGCACCTCAGCCAGCACTCCCACAAGCTAGCGCTGCTGGGAGGCCCACTTGGCAATCCCAAAGTTCTAGCGCTGCGTGAGATGCTGGGGCGCGAGGGCGGCATCACGTCGCTTGCCAACCACGCCGCAAAGCAGGCAAAAGATTTGGCGGAGGTGCGTGCTGTGCCTTTAGGGTTTTTGTATGTTTCTGTTGTGTTGTTTTGTGTTGTGGGATGGGATGGGATGGGATGGGATGGGATCGAAGAGGGAAGAGTGTTGAGGAGAGAGGTATAGAGTCGCCGTTGAAAAAACTCGATGAGGCAATAATGGTGAGAGGGGGGTTACAGAGCACTGTGGTGATGAGCTCCGCGCAGACGGCAGGCTTGGCGCGACACCCCGTAGGCTCCTCGTCATTAATACAGACAACATTACCATCATTACCATAATGATCATCCATTATTTATGATCATGTCTTTACTTACTCATGTCTTAATCATTATTGTTATTATATTGTGTTGCATTCAAAATTTATTTTTATTTAGTTATTCACTATTTCTCATCCAGCCATCCGGTACTGATTATATTAAGTTGTGTGTTCAAAATCCGTCAGGACGATCCCCTGGAGCGTGAGGATGTGCCGTTCGATCCCGAGTCCCAGCTCGAAGAGCCCATGGCGCGGAAGGCATGTTCCGCCAACAATATCCCCCAATTGGAGGTTGGAGAGCCTAATAGCAATACCAAGACCAAGGAGACTGTCAGCAGGCAGCTCTCAGGAAGCACAATACTTGGATGGGGTGAAATACGTTCGGCGCCGCGGCAGGTGCCGCCCTCGACGTTGCTTTCCAAAGGTGAGGGCTGACGCGGGTGTCTGTAGGCGTGTGCCTGTCGGTCTGTCAGTGAGGAGGGAAAGGGGCGTGTATGCTTGTTTGGTAATTGCAGTAATGTGTAGTAATGTGTAGTAATGTGTAGTAATGTGTAGTAATCTGTAGTAATGTGTAATCATGTATAGTAATGCATAGTAATGTGTAGTAATGTGTAGTAATGTGTAGTAATGTGAAGTAATGTGAAGTAATGTAAAGTAATGTGAAGTAATGTGAAGTAATGTGTAGTAATATGTAGTAATGTGTGGTAATGCGTGACACGAGCAGGGCAAAAGAAACATGGGGAATTTTCAGAAGCATCCCTAGGTGAGGCAAGGCAATGAGCTGACTGACGGACGGACGGACGGACGGTCAGGCAGCGAGGTCGGCATGGGCATGTAAGGTAATGAACGAAAGGTGTCATGAAACATTTTAAGTTGTTGCGTTCAGCTGTGGTGACTGCCGTACCTCGTCCCTGATTGCCAAATGTACCGCGCAGCTCTGCGACCCGACGCAGTGCCTGAGCGGCCTGAATCCGAAGCGGACGCCGCCGGCTCACCCCCAGCACCTCTGCCAGCGGAAACGGCCAGGGCCACGGCCGCAGCGCCGGCGCCGGCACCGTCCATCCGAGCCCACCACCTCCTCCGCTCGACCGCTGCTGCTCCTCGTGTGACTCGGCATAGTAGCCCCAGGGTTCCCCAGCGCCGAAGCCACGAGGCCACGCGGCATGGAAGTCATCTGCTGGAAATTGAGCTTATGACCGAATCCAACAACACAAACTGTGCTCCAACAGATCGTGAAGTAACCAGCAGCGGCGGTACTGCCGCCGGCAGCGGTGGAGGTGCCGCCAGCAGCAGCGGGGGCGCCACCGGTACCACGGCTGGGGGCGGCGGCGGCGGCGGCGGCGGCGGCAGCTTTCTCGGCGTACTCTCGATTCCGCGCCTTACGAACCTGGGTCGGGAAAGCCGAGATGTGGTTAGTGGCGGCGGTGTTGTCAGTAGGCCAGGGGGTTCTGGGGGCTCATCACAACAGTTCAAGCACATGGTTAAGCGGACGAAGAGCAGAAGTGCGCTAATCAGGAGGTGCGTGTGTGTATGTATGTTTGTATGTGTGTATGTGTGTATGTGTTTATGTGTGTATGTGTGTATGTGTGTATGTGTGTATGTGTGTATGTGTGTATGTGTGATCTTTACTCCTCCTTGATTTTGGCTGATGCGCAAAAATGCGAGTTGAGGTGTGTATTAGTTTTAATGAGCCGAGCCGCTCCTTCCCCCCGGCCAACCGAAGTTTGAGGTCCTTGTCGTCCTCCGACTGACCCCCCTTTCCTAACCCCTATCCTCCTGCTTCACTCTTATCCTCCTCGCCTCCTGTAGGTTTTTTTTTTTTTGTGTGTGTGTGTGTGTGTGTGAAGAGTAGTTTGTGTCTGAGCGTATTTGACCCCGTGCCATTATTGCCATTATGTACATGCTGTACATAAATACATGCTTACATACATACATATATGCGTACATACATACTTTAGGCACTACTGGTAGTGCACGCACCAATGCCCCCGGAGGTTCCGGGATCGAGACCTGCCAGGGTGGTGGAAGGTCCCTAGTCGATGGACGGTGGTGCCCTGGGATAAGTTAACCTGTGAGCTGACTAGGTATGGAGTTGCGCCGCCTTCGACCCGGCAGATTCCGTTGGATGCCGGTGGTGGGTGCTGAACCTGAGCGATCCACTGAGAAGTTGACTAGGGTGACCAGATGAGGGTGCCCCGAAATACCGGGGAAGGCAGGGTCTGCCGGGTAGCGGCCGCAGGGTGAAGATATTGGCCCCCTGTCCCACACATTACACATATGTACTCCATGGAGGGAACATTGCTTTCGTTCCATTATCTTCGTCTTCTTCGTCTTCTTCGTATCTTACCTTGCATTCCTTTTCTTAGCTTTCCTGCCCTTCTCTTCTCTTCACGCTTCTGTCCTCCTCGATCTTTTCGTACCGTCCGCAGCTTGGCACATAGGCAGAGCAGCTCGCACCGCCAGGTGCTGCACCCGGGTAGCCTCAAGGCCTCATCAATAACGGATCTGGACGATGGGGCCCGAGCGCAGGACGACAGCAGCAACAGCAGCCCTCCACGGACATTCAGCTACCCAAGGTACTCAATGACGCACAAGCGCGAGGAAGAGGACGGGCCCGGGGGCGGCCGCGGCAGCCGCAGTCACGCAGCACACGGCGGTCACGGGCACAGCCACGGCAGCGGCGGCGTCATTGGCCTTGGGGCCGCCGCCGCCGCGGCGGCTGGGTACCATCCGCTGGTCGTTATTGATATGGGTGTGCACAGCTTGGCGGTACCGGCTTTGGACATGATGTACGGCAATTTGTACGACGGAGTGCAGGTACGGGAGGAAAACTATAGTAGTTTCCATTTCTGGTGTTCCGATCGCGGTACAGTGTTACTCTCTTTTTTCTCCACTTGTCTGCCCCCGCTTTTCCTACCTACCTTAAACCGTCATATACATAAGCATATGCTGACATACATACGCACATCTTCACTCACTCACTCGTCTGCAGGTGATCCAGCTGCTTCCCGCACACCTCAAGCACCGAGCCGCCTACCACCCGCCACTCAAGTCACAGGCGCAGCTGGCGCCAGGGTTCTTTGATGCACCAGGCGCAGCGCAGGTAATGAGAGGGAGCGAGGGTGGCGAGGTGAAAGGCAGCAGCACGGGTGGCCGGGTAGCCGAGTTGCTGCAGCACGGGTGGAGGTTGGCGAAGTGGGCGAGTAGCTGTGCGGGCTGGTTGGTTCGGATGCGAAAAAGGCCCATGGGTGATAACAGCGGCTGTTGACTTCATTAATCTTCCTCCCTCGCACCAAGACACATATTATAATGGTTACGACAGCTGGGACAAATCGCGCGACGAGCTGAACCCCAAACCCGAAGAACCCATACAAGCTGTATGTATGTCGCGCAATGTTTCTAAAACCCCGTGGAAAGTCAAAATTTTAGCGTGCAGTAAGTGCCCCATCGTGGCCCATTTCTGTATGATATCATGGTCCCTCTTGCTGCGGCTGCTGCTGCGGCTGCTGCTGCTGCTGCTGCTGGTGTCCCGCAGGCTCTCCTTCCGTGCCCTCCCTCCCAGCCGCCCTCCTTCCCGAGGCTGTCGCTCATGTTCATACAGCCCGCCGGCTACTCCGCAGTCGCCAACGCCAACCTCGAGGTCGCAGAGCGCAGCGGTGCTGTATTTTGCGCCGCTGTACGGGAATTGCTGCAGATGTACGGCGTGTACGAGTGCCAGGAGTACGAATGCACGTTCATGGTAGCGTGCAACGGTCCACGAATTGCGGCGGAGACCGGGCTGGCGCTGCAAGAGTGGCTGCTGCTGGTGCGTGCGTATATATGTATGTGTGATGCCGAGAGTGATAATTTGTGCAAGGTTTGGAGGGAGGGTAACGCCTAAATTGCCAACACCACCCACACTGCAAGAACGCAGAGTGAGCACAGAATGGCCAGATGACGGACACAAGTAGCATTCGGACTTGGTGTGTGGGTGTGTGGCTGGTTGCTCATCCGCTAAAGCACTGAAGGGGTATTTATCTTCTCCATTCCCACCTCCCGGGTTTCCCCAGCTTCCGTTTGCCTTCCATGTAACGCCCACGTAACACCCACGTAACGCCCACACAGCACCCATGTAACGCCCACGTAACCCCTACGTAACGCCCACGTAACACCCACGTAACGCCCACACAGCACCCATGTAACGCCCACGTAACCCCTACGTAACGCCCACGTAACACCCACGTAACGCCCACACAGCACCCATGTAACGCCCACGTAACCCCTACGTAACGCCCACGTAACCCTTACGTAACGCCTAGGTAACGCCCATGTAACGCCCCCTTTCTGGCCGCAGGCTGATTGGCCATCTGACCTCCTCGATGAGTTCGAGTCGGGTCGTGTTGTTCTGGGCCCCAGTGGCCGGGCCCTCTTAAGGTGGGATTGGCTGGAGAAAAGCTGTGTTTCGGAGCCACGGTTTGTCCGCGTCTCAATGTGCCACTGTGTGTGGGATTTGGCGGGGTGGGGTTCTCTTGTCTGTGGGGTTCTCTTGTCTCACATCACACCACGTCACATCACCCCCCCTTCTGACCTCTCAAAACCCCCAACCCACATCCCACATCCCACATCCCACACCCCACATCCCACCCACCCGCACATCCCTGCCTCCCTCCCTCCCCCCCTCCCCAGGGGCTTCCGTGCCAAGGTGGGTATCTTCACGGGCGTCCCCTTATCCGTGGTTCCTCACGCCACCACGGGACGTGCAGACTACTTCGGCGCCATAGTCAACCGGGCAGCAAGACTGATGGCGGGGGCCAAGGCAGGACAGGTGGGGGCGGGGGGGAGAGAGAGTGTGTGTGTATGTGTGTGTGTGATGCTGTACAGCTATTGATCCTTCACTTTGATCTTCTGCAACCTCCGGAACGTGGACTCGATTATTTTGTTTTGTTTGGCTGACAAATCGAATCCCAGATCCTCGTGGACAAAAACGCCGGACTGGAGATCCTCAGGGAGTGGCGTCAGATGGCGGCAGTTGCGGCGGCTGCGGTCCACAGGGGGATCCTCAGAGTCGACCG